ATAAAATTTGTAGAAAAAGTATGTAATTTAAAAAAAAATGAATAATATATATAGAAGTATATTAATCTAAATTACATACAGACTGTACAGTGAACAAAATACAAATGTCATTATTTTCTGCTTATGAAAAATGAGAATATTATTATATAGGTATGTCTAAGGTTAGGCCAGTGATAGGGCCACTGGTAAGGTCAGATAAGGCCATAGCCCTACCTAGCCCGTCTCTAGCGCTGCCACTAAGAAGGTTCTTTTGTAAGAAAAAATTATGAAAGTTGCGCGGAAAATTAGTTATACGAAAAAAATACATATCGTTGTCACAGTAAATTAAAAAACATATTAATTTATTTTCCAAACTGTTTTTATTCAAATTTATACATCATAGAATAGTTTAATTTTTTTTAAATGCCAGCAATTAGACGTACAAATTTAGGACAGGTGTTTGTGGCATCAACCTTGATAAATGATAATCCATTTTTTCCACATGACCAGCTGTATCCTGTCACCTGTTCTCGTGTCGGAATATCAGCAAAAATATTAATATACGTGCCCGAAAATAAAACTAAGAATGTTGTGTATCATAACTCATAAGGCATTAGAATAATAAACACTATTTTTTTGAGATGATAATTTTTTTTTTTTAATTATATTGACCTATATTCACTATTCATAGATAGGACAGGACGATTTCTATCTGGTCAGCTAGTTTATAATAAATAAAACAATATAAACTTTTTTTTTTTACTTAACCTAACATTTATTATGAAAAAATTTACATTAAATGTGTACAAAGTTTCAAGCTAAATGTATTGATGGCCCTTTTGATATTATAAATATAAAAAGATCTTTATTTAATTAATATTATTAATAATTTGTACATGTAATGAGTATAGAGTTCTAGATTACAAGATACTAGTTGTATATTTGTAATAACATTACTGTACAGTAAAAATTCAGTTGGATAAAATATAACTTCAGTCAACATATTGTGAATGAGTATAGGTGTACAGTAAAATCTCTGAATAGCGGACACTCACGGGACCGACCAAATTGTCCGCTATTGGGAAAAATTGATAAAATAATATGTATGTAACGGGACTATGCCGGGACCGGAAATTTTGTCCGTTATTGAGAGGTGTCCGCTAATTAGAGGTGTCCGTTAAGAGAGGTTTCACTGTATTATATAGTAAAACCTCCGTTAACGGACACCTCCCAATAGCGGACGTATTTTTAACAACGGGGACATTTTCACGACTTTTTAATGGGAATACCTCCAAATAGGACACCTTTCATTACTAATTATTAAAAATGATGACAACACGGTGACAGCAAAAGGCGTTCGTATTAGGTTTAACAGTAATTAACTCGTTTAACAAACTTGTTATAAAACGATAAGATAAGAGTACGATGTCTAACAACAATTATGGTTAAAATATAAATGTCTTGACTGCCAATGTTTCGAGTGTTTTGTTAGTCAATGATTACTTTTCGAAAAGTGCAGACTAGTGAATACGTTTTTTCGTTTAAATCTATATAATTATTTCATAATCACATTTATATTTCATATATAGAGTGTTTCTGAAATGAATAAGGTCACTAGTATACACGTACTTATAGTAAGTCTAATGAAGATTTTTTTCTATCTTAAAAATCTGGGATTTTTCATATTATTTTTAAAATATTATCTTAAATGTAAAAATAATTATTAGTTGTATTTTTTTTTTTTGCGAAATTCTCAGTTTGTCGCTCGTTTTTCACGTTCAAATTACTGACTAAAAAAAAAGTGGTGTGACATCGATTCGCATGAAAACACTGCAAGATAAACAGTGGTGATTGTTTTTTGTTATCATTTAACATTCATGATTTATCACCACATTGTTTTACTTTGTAAACTAATTAAGAAGATGAAATAATGACTCAATTAGGATTAACAGAGATATAAGTGATCTAATTTATATTTAACTTCTGATTTTACCCATGTGACTTTTTTTATGGGGTTTTATGAAAGAACAAGTTTATGCCAAAGAAGTGAATAATGGAGATGAACTTTTAATGAGAATTAATGATATAACTGATTGCTGATATTATTCGTCCAACACCAAATTTGTTGAAAAAGACATGGAATTCATTACATCGTTGTATGAAAAAGTGTATCGAAGTTAATGGGGGAGGGTCATATTGAACAAATTTTGTAGATAAAGATTGAAAATAAAGTAATTTGATTATTTAACAATGTAAAGTCACCGTTGTTAATCTTGCAGCGTTCTCGTGCAAAACGATGTGTTACACCATTTTTTTTTTTAGTCGGCGATTCGAGCATGAAAAATGTGCGACAAGCTCAAAATTGATGTGACGTCTTGATTCGTATGAATCGTGTTGGGTACACCTCTATGATACATTACCACTGGTCATTTCTCGTAAAAATCTATATTTTTACTCTTCGAAAAAAATGCACATAACATCTTTATTAGTAATAGTTTTTGTAAAATTAATTTTAAAAAACAACTCTTAAACGAATGCTTACGAAGTAGGTATTAACAATATGTTATAAGTTATAATACAAAACTGCTTACATATTGTCACTTACATAAATTTTATGAGGTTTATTTCTGTAACTTAAAAATGTAACATAAATGTATTATCATTACCTATCTTTTATGCAATTTATATTTAATATATATTTGAACATTTTTTTACTAATTTTGTTTCACCATGTTGGAATTTAGATATTATGTACCTATTTTTATCGTGTAGGAACTAGCATATGTACCTTTTTTCTACTGTGTAGGAACTAATGTATGTGATTGTTTACCTGATACTTTCGTGTAGGTACTTAATATTCCCTGGACACATATACACCAACAGCCAATACAATAGTTAGGAACCAGTTTCACCGTAAGCCAATATCTATACATATCTACCGGACCCCTGTCGTTCACCTGTAGACTACCTGCGCTATATTATTACCCTCACAATAAAAGAAATCATATTTCTTATTACATTTTACCGAGTAAATCCAATAATTCATTATTCTGACTAAATGTTTTTCACGTATAATAATTTAATGGGTATTATATGTTAGACGGATAAATTGAAGCAGTATTTTATGAAGACCGGTTTAAAATGTAATTGAATTTCAGATAAATTAGTAGTCGTTAAAAAAGAATACCTTTTTTCAGTTTTTAATCGTCTGGAAAGTGTTTTTGCATTGCTTCTGCAAAAAAAAAAAAAAAAAAAAAATACCTACCTCTACTTAAAAATAATCGACTAGTTGTTAATGTTGTTGTTATAAAGTTAAAAATTCACAGATATAAAATAAATATAATTATGTATACTATTATGAGCACATGTAAATTGCACCGATCATAATCTTTTTAAACCTTATTCTTCTTATACACCACACGCGTATGTTTTATTTACACACCAAAAACAGTATATATTGCCAAATAATTATTACTAATTAGTAATAAATTTAAATTAAATTGATAACTAAAAAATACGTATTTTGGATTGATAATTGTTGAGGTTATAGGTTCGTTAACACTGTTTAATTTAATATAAGTGAATGTTTGAATTTATAATTTGCAATTGAAATTACTGATTATAAAAAACAAAAATTCTTTACCATGAGTAAATTTTTAATCAATGATTAGTTCGCCAACAAGAATAATGGGTGTTCAGTTTATTTTTACCTACTCAGAACTCAGTTTTATAAAAATCTGTGCATCTGCATTCTCTCAAATTCCGTGCCTGTCTTGTCGGCAATAACCAAAAAATTGTTAAGGCCAAAAATATTAAGTTTAAATTGTATATAGTTTATTATAGTTTGTGTATAGTTTTAAGTGTATATTTTAATTAATTATTGATGAAAGTTTTACAATTTCAGAACAGGCTTGAAGACGATTTAACGAAGTCCAGAGAACGACTTCATGGATGTAAAATGTATTGTTCTTCAGGTTATTAGCATTGTGATGAATTGTCCCTTTCCCTAAATAGAATCATAATCTACTTATGACACCTAAGTGTTATTTAGTGTACCGAATTTATGACTTTATGATAAACTGAGACATACACTTAATACGTAGGTTACTCGTAATACACAATGTCTATTAAATTAATAAACCTACTTTGTAGTACACTTAAAAAAAATCTGAAGTTTTTTTATTTTTGAGACGAAAAATGTATATATATATATGTAATGCCACACATTCTAGCCAGACCGACATTAGCCAACCACTCCTGCCAATCACAGTCCAACCGACGTTAGCCACCCTCTCCCACCAAAAACCACCAGTTTGACTAGGTACTTGTCCACTTGTTTTGATTCATCCCAACCATTTTTATTTAGGGTATGGCCAGCTAAATATTACAGGTATATTATTAGTCTGCTGACAACTGCCGTATCTGTTTAAATGACTTCATCTCTTCTACATTTACTAATACAATTATCAAGTCAAGACTTTATACATAGACTTTAAAAGGTAAGTAATTTTTTATTATCGTTCCGGTAAATTATTTTATTTTTACTACCCAAAATTAATTTTTTATTGATATTTTAAATTAATAGTTTATAGTAAATTAAGTTAAACCGTTAAAATTGTAGGCACTATTATATAATAAATACCAACATTACATGATGATAATTTTAACTAAAATCACTATTTTTTCCTAAAACTATAAACTTTTCAAAAATATGTTGAGTAAATAAAATAACATTTAACAAATAATTATACTTTTATTATTATTTAAGTTTACAGTTTATAATTACAATACATTTTTAATATCTTATTTCAAAAAATAATATTATTCAATTTTTATAACTAAATTAAATTTTGTAAGAGTTGTTTACGTATTTAATATATAGAAGATAATATGAATTGAGTGTAGTGACACTACTCTGTTCATCAAAATTTTACATACCTTATAACTAATAAACTTTGTTTTTTTTCATTTTATAGGCTATTGTTTTGAACGACGTTATCTATTCATAAAGAATATAAACTATGATGTAAGTAAAATACTCAATATATATTTTATACATGTTAAGTTAATTTGTATTTGTAATAGACATCGCGTTTCTACAATAACACACAATACCAAGAATATTGATTTCAAAACTATCAGTATTGTTATAAATAGTTTCATATTCTTTTATTTAAATTTTTTTTAGTCGATAATACAGAATATTATATTTTTATAGTATAATATTATAATATCATTAATAATTCATATATTACATTTCTGAGTAATCATAATAGATATGTTAGTGTATTCAGTACAAACTGAAATTAGATGACTAGAAATTGGAATCCGTAAAGCATTAAATAGTGTCCATTATATTGTTATTATTGTTTATTATTGTCAGTTTCAATAAAAGTATGTATATGTATTTCAGGTGTTATTTGAAAGTCATCATTATCTTAATGACTTGCAACATGATGGTAGACTGCGCGCCAAGGGTCCCTGAAATCATAGAATGGAACGTCGAAAATCATTTTTGTGGGTCATCTATCCCAATTGTTATGGGGCTAATTTGCAAACTCCCCGATATTCCTGTACAGGTTGTTGAAGGTAAGTCTTGCAAGCATAATTAATCATTTCATCTCTGTTCGAGTTTCATAACTTTTATTGAATATTTGGAAAATAATTCGGAACAGCTCTTATGGTAGAGATTCCTTTTTTTAATAGGACGTCACTTAGTAATCTAAGTATTATGTAGCACTTTTTGTATGAGCATATCGTCATATTTTTATCATCGTTAATTAAACTTATCACTTAAGAATACCTGATTAAATATAATATAATAGGCTTGCCATTCGTCTCAGTTTTAAAAGAATGTTTGGGTGTCTTGGCTGGTCATTCAGTTTGTTCCAGTTAATAGAATCCGAAAGGAAATAACATTCAATATTGTATTATTTAACAATAAAATACAAAATGATATATTGTATACTATATTATTACATCATTATCTTATGATATCTAACTTACTAAATCTAATCAATATGGTTTTAGGCTTATTAATCACCACACGAGTAGGTATATAATTTTTGTTATAGTTTTGTTTGCGAATGTACGTACTTCCGTGTTTGTGTGGTTAGATTATTTTGGTTGAAATTTATAAAATAAAACACATAAAATATCAAGTACTCTTAATAATAAATTACCGAATGAATAAAATAAATTTAAAAATTGTGTTAGGTAATAAATATTAAAACAAAAAAAGGATATACTTAGTTATATAGGTACTTTTTATATATTATTTGTTAAATTTAAAAAAAAAACCATCAATACCATGTCTCAGTCTGGCAGGTAATTACGAAATCTAGTAACCCTATAATATAATATTTCAAATAAAAAATGATATATAATTTAATGACAAAAGACCCATATAAGGGAAAATTCAAATTAATGTACTACATTGGGGTGTCCAACTTGCGGCCCATGGTAGATAATGATGCGGCCCTCACTTCAATTTAAAAACTATTAATTAATTGTATATAATATATTAATATTAATGAGAACAAATTTATCATAATAATATAAAATTACATAATATTAAACATTAAATAAACTTTAATAGTGTTTAATACTTTTATCTTAGCATAATAGCACGGGCACACATTAATTATACGAGTGATTAGTGGATCAACTCGAACCGATTTTGATAAAATATTTTATTATTGGAGATATGTCCACGGCATTGATCTCGTGTCATTTATCAACAAATAAAAATAAAACACTGTATGTATTAACTATTATTATTAAAAACTATGCTGCCCGCAACAACTTCTACCTATATGATGTGGCCCAGACTTCACAAAAGGTTGGACACCCCTGTACTAGAAGAACATTTCTTTTAAATCTTAGATATTAAAAGATAATTTCATAAAGAAAACTAATGAGAGTAATCGACTCGTAAATGAATTTGATTTTTCCTTATTTAAAATACGGTTACTATCATAGCAATAAGAATACTTCATCCAGTATATTATATACATTATCTCTGTTATTCATTTTAGATACTACTATTAATCAAGGGACTCGAGTACGACGTGGTATCGTAGATGATTGCTGTAGAAGTGCTTGTACTCCAATTTACATGCAATCATATTGTCACGAAGAACTAGAAAGGTAATTTATCTTAATTTGAGTGTACCTATTTATCATGTAATAAGTAGAGAAGGGTTTTATATAATTTTGAGAGAACTTTTTTGTTTGATTAATAAATTAATTAATTTTACAATTGTAATAACTAGGATCATTTAAGAAAAAAGTTTCAACATTCATCAACATTAAAACATTTTTTAGTAATTTAAATATAAGTAATTTAGCCTAGTTAAATTTTAAGTTATTGATGCTAGAATCGGTTAAAATCGGTAAAAATCGGTTTGTTTGTTATTTTTATATATTTTAAAAATTCACATAAATTTCAGAAAGTTTTTATTACTAATAAAATAGTTATATTTTTTTATTAATGTTTTAAATTAAGATAATTGAACAATATTCAATGTCTTTGCATATAGGTTTATTGTGTCTAAAATAATTTTCTGTCTTGTTTATAAACTAGATATTAAAATAGATAATTTAAAATTTAAGAAATTACACAATAATCAAGTGTATTATATTACATAAGTATTTAAATATTTGTGAATTTCTAAAGTATAATTATCTTTATGATTTATAGGGTTAGCACAGATAAACCGATTATCAAAAATCATAGAAGCCGTAGAACACCAACAATACCAAAAGAAATAACTTCAAGAATAGCAAAAGGTACTAATAGTCATTACAGCACCAGCACCAATATATACAACTAAAAAGACTGAAGTTTAAGATAGACACAAGCGCAATAACAAAATGTCATCAACGGTTTCCATGATTTAAAAAATTATTTTAATCAACATACATATTTTTTGATACATTTTACTTCCATATTTTATAAAAGTACAAACAAATTTTAAAACAATAAGTTTTTTTTCAATAATAAACAATAACTAACACTTAAAAAATATTATATTTTAATAATAAAAAGTTTTTACTTATACAATAAAGCCTTGATAGTCAGGACAAATTCAGATCAAGCATTGTCCAGATTACTGGAAGGTTTTCAAAATTACTAACTCAAATGACAAAAATCATAATAAATACCTTGATGTTGTGAGCCTGTTATTATTGATGGCTGAAGAAATACAAATTCATGACAAATATGTACTCAAGTTATTAAGCAATATTTAATTAATTTTTTTAGTTATTTTAAATTACTACATCTAAAATTGTTCATGCCAAATTCAAGTATTTCTATTCTATTAATATCCAAGTCATTACTAATGTGTAATTCAGGCGATTGATTTTAATTTACAGATGAAGTGAAAAAATTAGAATGGTTAGATGCATAAAATTATGTATTAAAATAATTTTGAAATCAAAAATAAATTTAGTAAGCAGACAAAAATATAATAAAATACATATATAGTATAGTACACACATAGAAGTACATACCTGAAAATAAACATTAAGCTTAACATTTTAATGTAAACTTGGAAGAATATTAGTCTTTAATTTAATATTTCTTGAAATATCAATATTTTCAAAACTAATTTATCAAACCCATTTTTTCTCATGTACTTACAAGAAATTGATAGTTTCAATTATTTAAGTACATATTAACATAGTATATGTGTTACATTCTAAATAGGAAATTTTATGTCTCTGTCAATCTAACATGCAATACACAAAAATTGTATACATAACTTAAATAAAATACAACAAATCTAATATTATACACTTATCTATGATTTGATTCATTAATACGGTAGATGACAGATGATAAACAAGTCATAAAATAATATAGATACCATTCTACATGAACGTTGATTTGCAAGTGGGCATTCATAGACTAACTATTAATGTTAATAGAGTCTGGTTTTATGCCTATAGATGTATGTTATTATTGTTTGTAATTTACTTAAACTTTTAACCTTTTAAGGTAATTATTCTAAATAATATAAATCAACACTAAAATAATAGTAATTGTAAATTGTATATTATGTATTTCACGAAATAAAATTATAATTATAAAAAAATAATGAAACTTGATAACTTCAGTTTAAGTCTTAAGGATATTTAAGCATAATTTTTAATATTTTCCATTTTTATGTTCAATGAAAGTAAAATATTTAATTATTCATCTGAATAACTTATTTTAATTCTGTTTTATTATAAACAATACTTTAACATTTTTTATACAACCTTGTATAAAAAAAATTTCTTTTTTATTAACTTGATACTTCATATTCAATATCAAGTGTTATTCGTTTGATTCAAGCCATAAATTATTTATAGATTTTTAATTTCCAATATAGTCAAACTTAAACAACTCGATAAATATTCATCAAAACATAAACCAATTGAAACAGTTACATACAATAATCGTTTAATACAAGATTTACTTTAGAAGATCATAAGAATTTAATAAATATTGACGTATATTTTCTTTAAATTGTTTACCTACTCTTTATTTTCATCAGTTGATAAGTCAAATATTTCATTAGGCAAACGGCACTTTGGTAAAGATATTTTGCCATTACCAGAATATAAACCAAAATATCCTTTAGTCGTTTTTTTACATTCAAAGTGCAACAAATAACAATGCTCGCATTTAAATTTTAAATAAAATTACTCAAATTATAGTAAGTAACGTGTACTGTATTATCTATGTGATAAAACGCATTTATAATTTAATTTAAATGCACTGATTTTAACTTAAACAATTTTTCCTTTAACGTATTTTAGCTAAATAATAGGTATTACTCTCGCTTTTAGTGTTAACATTTATTTCTAAAAGTAGAATAAATTAATTTGAAATATTCGTATTATTACCAAAAACTAAAACACTTTAAACTTGTGTCAACAGGGACAAAAAAATAAATTATACATTATAGCACATGAACTATAATCTACAAATTCAATAAGATCATATTTTGATCTACCTATAAACATGAAATGTATTATTTGGATAAAGCCGACTAATGCATTCGAGTTCGATATGATCAGCACATTCGCCATCTGTGCTCATTAAATGTTTGCAATCATTATAATTATAAATAATTGATTTGTTCGAAAGATCACTAATGACAAATTCTTTATACATTTTCCAATTATTCATCATCAAGTTAACAACTCTTAATCGAATATCTCGATGTTTTTCTAGCGCATCAAATATTACATAATATGACACGGAACGAAATAAATAATTTCTATCGCTCACTATTGGAATTAATTAATAATCCATTTTAAATAAAAACTAATACACACACACATATATATATATATAAAATAATTATAATATTATGAATAAAATTCAACAAGAAATGACAAAACGATGAAATCAATAATAGTATTAGGTATTTTATTAATTATAATAAAACAATAAAATTCAACAATTCAGACAACGCCACGACGACGACAATAACGCGGCAACAGACGTAGGATTGTGGCGCGCAGTGTGCACTGTGCACAATGCAAAAATGTATAGCCGGGCAAAAGTGCACATCGCCACCGATGACAGCGGCACAACACTTCAGCAGTATCGCAGTAGACACGTCTAGAAGACTGTGCAGTTGGTATTGTGAACGCGCACGATGTGTGTGTGTATGTGTGTGTGTGCGTACGACAAGCGCTGGGCATCGTTACGCAATTACACGGAAAACTATTTAGTTGATATTTGATGTGTTTTCAGACGTTTTTCATTAAATGGCTCATCTGCACACCGAGTACTTGCGTTTGAAAAACATAAATCATGAAAATCGGTCGAGTAGAACTTCAGATGGGGCTGTCCAAAGAAATCGTTGCATGTTTAAATAACATAGTTTACGATTAGGTACACGAAGTTACACAATCATTTTTTGGAACGGAAACGAAATATGTCATCATATTATATAACTAGATATTTTTGCTAGAAGACAATATTACTTGTTGAAATACGTACCCGGAAATTTATCTAAATCACAATATAATAATACTATTTATACATAGAAGTAAAAAATAATTTATAATATTATTATATATTATTGTGTCCAAGGCCCAAGCGTTGTAGCTCAATTGGGCGTTTGATTTGTGAGTATTCATAGTGGGACTGATTTTAGTCGGAGAGCGTAATGCTGCGTTTCTCCGTGGTCTCAGCGATTCGGTTCGACTATTATATAGAATCGTGAAGTGCCGGTTATTGCAGCGTTCCGGACAATTATTGATTTGAATTAAGAGTTGTTACATGGCGTGATCTGCGTTATCACCATGATTTTTTCCACCTCTGACCTTAGATTGTTGTTTAGGGATTTATAATTTCTCTACGTATCTTGGTAGTGTAAAATCATTCCCAACATTTTTTTGGATTATTTTTGTAATTGATTAATCTATTTGATTAAAATAAAACTCGTGTTTTGAGAAATATTTTTATGATGATTATTGGGACCAGTCCAATGTGTGATCTACTGATAAACGGCTGGTCCAATGTATGATCTACCAATAAATGGCTGGTCCAATGTGTGATTAACTATTAACTATATATTATGTCCATACTGCAAAAGTATTTTTTAAATCTGATAAAAAATCATCAAATATTTGAGTTTGTACCAGGTGGCATGACCGCCACCATTCTTCTTTAAGTTGGCGGTCTAATAGTGGAGATGCACCATTAACTTTAATATTATACTTAGACTTGACTAACTTCCATAACGATTTTATTGTTTGAGTATGAGCTCAATTTCAATTCATCAAAAATTATATTTTTAAATAAATAACCCATTGTTGTAATAGAATTCATTTTAAAATTTAAATCGTTACAAAACTAGTTATAAAAAAAAATTGACCAACAAACGAAATGACACGAATGAACGCTAAATGGTAACGGAATGTTTAAATGATGTATTTTAGAAATACAATACAGTCGTAAAATCCATATTATATCGATAATTATATAGGTATAGCACTATAATGTAAAATATAGATATGTTTTCAGTAGATCACACGTTCTACCAATAACGCTTTATCGTAGATAGCAGTTTATCGGTAGATCACACATTGGACCGGTCCCTGATTATTATTATTTAATTTTTGTGATCTTAATCACATTGTCTATCAAACGGAATGCATTGTGATATTATCGTCGCGTTATATTCAATTATAAAATTCCGTGACTGTCTGTTTGACAAAGCTTTTAAACTATGTGAAATTCTATGTGCACTGGTAATAGTACATGTTCACTTATTCTGTTGATAGTATGGTGCAATGTTTTGTTACTAATATGCATTTAGCATTCAGAAAAAAAAAATTAAATCATTCTATTTTGTGGGGAAAACAATGTTTTTAGTTGGTACCTAGATAACTACTGTAGTAACGCGCATAGCCAGGATTTTAGATTTGGTGAGTGTTAAACGTTTAATTTTGGTCGAAAAGTTTAAAGCTCAAATCTTGACACAATTTGTCAAAAGTCACCAGATTTATGATGCCATTAAAAATGACTACCTCTATGTTATCTTTTTATCCATTCAAATTGGTCTTCTCAAATGTATTTTTTCATTAAATTACTCTTTTTTTAATTAAATCATGTAGTTTAAAAAAAAACTTATTGGACATGCAAAAATAATTCTTAAATTGTTATTCACTCTTAAGCAAATCAGAAAACAATCAAGTCAAATGTATCTCTTTATCTCTGTATTGGATTATAAGAGTTCCCATATGATATGAGAGTCCCTTATTTTAGAAGGGCCGATATAAAGTGCGCATTACATCCTCTGTGGTAATCTCATAAAATATGGTCTCCTGATCCTCTTTATCTTAATTATGCCACTGAGATGGTTATCTCTTGGTCCAGCAATTGACAAAGTATCATAATTTTATCCAGCCATAATATTTTATTTTATATTAATTGGTGATGATTGGCGAATGTCCAAAAATTTTACAAAAATTACCATCGATAAATGCAGATATTGATACAGACTAGAAAATTATCCTCATTCTAAAACTTATATATATATTTAAGTTTTTGTGCAAATGTAGTTTAAATTTTTCAGCAAACTAGTAAGCGGTTACAAACTATGAACACTTCTGCTACAGAATTGAATGAAATAATGGAAAAACTAATCTCACAGAAAGATTGAAGCAATAATTATTTGGAACATAATTTATTTTATGTAGTCAACATTTAGAAGCAAACCAATATGAAAAATACAAAAAAAATCTTTGGACAATTTTACATATTTATCTAAGTGGTTTAACTTCTTAGATAACAACATTTTTTAAGTGATCGAATGTTTATAATAATTAAACAATAAAATTTCTTACAATGATTTAGCTAAAGTCGTTTAAACATTATAGTTAAAAATATTTTTTCAACCAGTCTTTCTTAGTGAGTATTGCACAATAAAAACTTTTTCAAATATTTATAGTAAAGAGAAAAACGTGTTCTCTAAATGGACAAAAATATTGTCATGTAGTACTCAAGAAAATGTCAAAAATATATTTATTTTAGTTTCTAATGAGTTGAGTATTCCACCATCAAATGCATATGTTGAAAGAGTTTTTTCCATAATTAATAAAAAATGGTCTAAGAGAACCTAACTACTACAAAGTAGAAGTTATAAAATTAGAACTTCAAACAATGAATTGAACTTTGAAGAAAACTATTTCAGATTTCAGAGAAAATAAAATTAGATGAAGATTTATATAAAGTAATAATAAGTAACTAAAAATATTCTTTTAAAACTAAAATAATTAATTATTTTTATTTTTATTTATATTATTTAATATAAATTAGTTAATACATAAATATTAAAAAAAAAAAAAAAAACTAAAAGTATAATACAACAAAAGTAAGAGGATTTTTTATTTATTTTATTCTTAATTTTTAACACAAATGTAATAATTTGTTCTTACATTTTATCTTGTTTGATAACCTAACAAAAGTATTACTCAGTTAGTATTTCGATTATACCTACTAAAAGTATTAAAATACAAGTGAGAGATTTTTATTTATTTTACTGTTAATATTGTGTAATATTAAGTTAGAATTATTTCTAGGCCTACTTAATTTTGTATACCAAAAGTATTCATATACGTAATAAAAGAAAGAGCCATATTTCTATTATTATTTTGAATTTTAAAGAGCTTTAAAAATTAACAATATTTTAGTTCATTATTCTAATAAATCAAACCTTATATTGTTAAAAAAAATATGTCCTGTATTGTTACATTGAAAAGTGATAACCCTGCGTGACGGGGCATTAGAGAAACAGATAGTATGAGAATTTTAGTGTAAATTGGGGCAATTAATTCTATGATTAAAATATAATATTTTATTTTTAAAAAAGAAAGGTAATAATTTTATATTGGGGAAATAAAAAGTAAACTCATACAAATGAAATGAAATCACCTACATAGACACAATGTTAACTCTTACAAAAGATGATAAAAAAGGATACTTATCGTATTACTGTAAAAATTTATCCTTGTAATATACTAATACATAATATTATACAAAAGTACAAACTTTAAACAAAAATTGCTTGAAAAATATAAAAAAATATTATAAAACAATAGTCATATTACGTTTATTTTTGTTAACAAGCAATGGTTTATTTTTAATCGATTCAAAATTATTATATTTTTTGTATTGACATAAAGTAAATTCATGTAAAAATTAAGTACAATTTACTGTGCATGTTTTTTAGGGATGATTTTACAATATTAAAGTAAGTAGCAGACATTATGTATGTAGAGTGAGCATTGCAGAAAACCACACCGAATATTATACTATATCTATGGTTGATGCATTGACCGCTTGCAACAATGTATTTATTAGGAAGTCGATTTCTTCATCTGTTACTTTGATACTTGTAAGAAGTCTGATGCTGGGCGTAGGTATTTTGTATTCACGATCACTCAAATATGAAGCTGTAGTAATGGCTACACCTTTTGATATAGACTAAAACAAAATTTATAATATTATAAATCAACATAAACTATTGTTTTGATTGTAAAGTATTTTAATGGTTACCACAGACTGTTTTAAATATAAGGTTGAATGGGGTAAGTGTATAAACGGGGTAAATATAAAACCAGATGTTATTATGATCAGCGTTTAATCTGTTTATAGTAAAACTAGAAATTTTTAAAGTGATAGTTGCATTGGATATTTCAGTATACTTTGCAGCACTGTACTAGGACTTTATCACGCTGCTATTACAAAATATATAGTGTGACATCGATGTTATTTAATCGTTAAGTAATTTATAATTAGTCAATTGCTGCTTAGGTGAAAATGGTATGTACGTATGTTAGGAAGAGCTTCCGTGCTACCAATTACTTCAAAAATGATTTAAAGACAGTAGTAGATAACATAGTAGCAGGTAGATTAACTTATAGTGCTGCATAAAAAATGTATAATATTTCTAGGCCAACTTTGTATGTACATTCCAAAGGAGAAAGTGGTATGAAATCAGAAATGATGGGAAGGCCTACTGTTTTATCACCTGATATTGAATACCGTTTATCTGAATCATTAAAGACTTTGGACAAGTATGGTTATGGCTTTAGTCGCCGAGAAGTATTAAATTTAGTGAGAGAATTTTTAAAAATGAATAAAATTAAGAACTCATTTGGTAAGGGGATCCCAAGTGAATATTGGTGGTTAGGGTTTGCAAAAAGAAATAACTTAAATATTAAGAAACCAAGAATTGTTGAATACTCTAGAAAAAAAAGTCTGTAATCCGTTTATAATATATAACTACTTTGAAATTTTGCATAAAACTATAAAAGAATTGAATTTAGAAAATGAACCTGATAGAATATAGAATTTAGACGAGACTTCTTTTTGTCTCGATCCATCAAAAACCAAATGTATTGTTGCAAAGGAGTAGCATCAACTAGAACCACTTTTGGTAGTGGTAGAGAAAATACTTCAGTATTAATGGTATGTAATGCTGCAAGTGATAAAGAACCCCCATTGATTATCTACAAAGGTAAAAATATATGGGATAAATGAATTGGTAGTGAATTTTTGTTTCCTGGTACAACTTATGATGCCACAAATAATGGGTGGATGGAGAAGGAAGTCTTTATAAATTATTTTCAAAAAAGTTTTATGAAAACTACTAACCCAAGTCCACGAAATCCGATTTTGTTGGTTTATGATGGACACTCATCACATATTAATTGACCCTTCCTTACATTTACCAAATGGGGAACTTCTTATCTATTTATGTTTTATGTGTTTATTTATTTTTTTTTGAGTTTTATCACTGTTGACTATTTTTTTTTAATTTTAATTATGTTGATGTTATATTTTTTAATATTCTGTGTTGTTGTATTGCTCATTGACGCCATACGAAATAATAATCACATATTAATATAGAACTAGTAGAAATTGCAAGAGAACATAATGTGACTATATTATTACTTCCACCTCACTCAAGTCATTTACTACAACCTATGGATTTGTCTGTATTTAAATCTATTAAAATTACTTATGATCAACGTTTGTGTACATGGATTAGAAATCATAAACAACAAAAACTGCCAAGACAAGAACTATCAAAAATAATATGTGAAATTTGGCTTCAGTTGGACAAAAACATAACCATCAATGGTTTTAAAAAGGCAGGAATATTTCCTTTTAATAACTCAGTAATTTATAGAACTCAGTTTGACCCATGAAATCCTAAAAGATGGGATGATCACCAAACAACAATTAAAAATACAAACTTAAACAATGAGGCATCTACTAATCAAATGTACAGTTATTGGTAAAGACAACGACTAATTATCTTCTTCTATGCAATAATTTGAAGAATTATTACTCAATACTATGAAACAAACTGAAATAAATAGAGCACAATTAAAATGAAAAATAGGACACGGTAGATCAATTATAACAACAGATGAAGCTATGCAAATTTTAAATGAAAGTGATAAAAAAAAATAAAGAAAAAGAAGAGAAGATTTCAAACAAAAAGTAAAAAAACAAGAAATTAAGAAAAGAAAAAGTGACTAAAAGTGGATCAGATACTAAAAAAAAAATTCATAATAATAATAATAATGGTGACTCAGATATAGATTATGAATCTTTATTTACAATTGGAGATCATGTAATTGTATGTTATGAAGGTGAATATTTTCCTGGGGTAATAAATGATACAAATCCTGATAGTGCATTAGTTAGTGTTATGGTGATGTTTGGTGCTGGATGGAAGTGGCTTCAAGTGGAAGATGAGCTTTGGTATTCATATGACAATATTATGCAAGTTATTAAACCACCAGTACGTACTTCCAACTGTAGATAATATGTTCGTGATTAAAGAAATAATCAATTATCGAAAATAATGAGCAACAAAAAGACTTATAAATAATTACTCAATATGTTCTTATCTGTTAAGTTTGTTATATTTTAAAAGTTACTTAATTTTAAGAAAAATTAAAAATATTATTCATTATTAAGTTGTACTTCATAAAAAAAAGTCTGAACCAGTGTGATTATTATAAGTAAATTTTACTTATTGTTTTATTTTGTTATGTTTAAAAACTGAAGGAAAAATGTACTTATTTTTTTATTGATATTTATACAGTCAATTAATTGTTAATTCATTAAAAGAGATGTTGAAAAATATTTATACTTATTTACTTATAGGTAAGTAACTTATAATAAGTATTTACAATCAAATAATTACTCTTTAGTGAGTGATAACATAATTTATTTGACTGTAAATTCCAATTAGGTATATTTAGAGGTATTACATTATGGAACAATAAAAATTTAAAGTTAAAAACAAAAAAAAAAGTATTGTAAAATTTAAATTGAACTTTGCATTTTCGTGTCACACTTACCCAACTTCACCTTACTAAGTTAATATCTAATAATAGTTTATGATTTTGAGCAGAGCGATGAATACCTATATTGATTCTGTGTGTTTCTTCTGTTTGTCATCACATTTTGGTATAGTAAAATTGCTTTAATTTCAACTTTTAGGGAAGTTTTTGATAGAAAATTGGATCTGTTTGGTACTCCAGAGAGGAGAGGGTCGAAAGTTAACAATTCCTAGTACTTTTAAAAATAACTAATAACCACCAAATCGAATAACTTATAAGAATTTTCATCACTTTTATCATTTTCTATACAGGATATAATATTTAAAATATTTTGAATCTTTTTGGACTTAATATATAGACATTTGATTTTTTGGATTGTTTTTGTAAATGTGGATAAAAAAATAATGTCATCTCCTACTAAGTTATAATCTTGCACACAAGTCAACCATTAAGCTTCTTAAAGTGAGTTAAGTTTACATTATTTTTTACGGTATCCTAATATCTTCTTTTCATTCTTGGTAATTACTATAGTGAATCTAACTATTTTATCATTTATAAAATTAGTCAATTGATTACATATAAAAGGAAGAGATGGTGATAAAAAAGTAAATGATAAATACATCAAATATGAATGAAATCTAAGATGTATGACTTACGTAATCAACAATTTTTTTCAATATTTGCTGTTGTTTGGTATGTGATAGAGATTTATTTATTAGGTACAGATGTTTTAATGGACTTGTTGCATCAGATTCTAGAATAAAGTGTTCAGTCAGTTGACTACTGCAAATACTCCTATGTAGACTTGTACTTCTTTCTCGCAGTTTCACCAACATTTCTGGATGTTTTTCAATTTGATCCAAAGCTTTGATAGCGGCCGCTGATAGTAGTGGAGGTAGCGATGCAGAAAAACAGTAGCCTGGAATTTAAATAAGTAAAACATTATTTTTTATTTTATAGTACTTTAAAATGTAAAATTAACTTATTTTAGGCTAATATGAAAGTATTACATATTAAATGTATATTTTTAAGTACATCAAAAAACATTAAAATAAATAAAACTACTGAACTCGCAAATTATATAGCTAAAATATTTTTTTTCTGACTGATTCCGTGATATCATATAGTTTTGTTACATTAAGATTATGTCCAATTTAATTATTATTATTTATTAATTAGAATTAATGTAAAAGTTATTAACCCTAGCAGTTAACGATTATGTTAAAAACTGATGATACAATCTTTTTAAACATAGCGGAGAAAATTTCAAGTTTTTTTTAACAGCCAACTAATAAGCTATACATTTTATACAAGAATAAACAATAGAAATTATTGTAATTATTCATTCTTAATATTTATATTATCAAAATAAACTTATTATAAATAACAGCATCAAATATTTTCATTACCAAGACCAGATAGTCTCTGATGATCGACAACAAATGTTGAACCCACGCAAAAACCACCAACTGACGACAAAGATGTCTCTAAACTTCCAATAATTAAATCGACTTCGTCTTTCTACAGAAAAAAGAAAAAGGAAATAATAATTAAATACTTTATTATTAAATTAAATGTTTAATACAATTATGTACATATAATAATTAAAGACGAATAGGTTTTCTTTATCTGGCTTTTAAAATACACAAACTGTTACTTGCTATTAATATTGTCAATATAATATTATTGTTGAAAAAAAACCTATATCCTTTTGAATAAAAATACATTTTCGTTATTCTTACTGGTATATTAAAATGTTCTGTAATTCCGCGACCTCTTTCACCAAGTATGCCGAATGATATGGATTCGTCAATGAATATACGGATCTTATGTTTTATTCGAATGTCAATCAATTTTGGCAAGTTGCAAATATTTCCAGTGTTCATATAAATGCCTTCGACAATCAAGAATGCTTTTCTGTTTTTTCTTCTCTTCTATAAATTATATAGGGTACATAAGGTTTATATGTTTTGAAGAAATAAGAATCACGAAAACAGATTTGAATTTGACGTTAAGTCTACTTTAGATTGACTTTTCCACGTTTTTAATATTATCCCCCAAAATCTTGAAAAGGTTGTATTAAAAAAGAGTAATTACAAAATTGATATACTTACATTTTTGGAAAAACTAAAATCAAGAAAAATAAAATATGGGAGAATCAATCTCAAGAAGATTTGGGGACAAATTCAAATCTGTTTTCAGAAATCTTTTATTCTATGTTGCACGTGTGTTAGACAAAAGTAAAAAAAATCATAGCTGCCAATCTCTTTAAAATTACGGATTTTTAATATTTTTTTTAATTGGTAAATGAACTACTTAATAAATAGCAAAATATATGACAAAATATTTATAAAATTATACTACGTGTAAGAAGTGCTGACATATACATTTGATGTAAATTTAAAGTATTATAAGTTTTTGAGTTGTACATAAAACCAAAATTGTTATTGTCCAATACTAGTTTTGTGTAAAATTCCCATTTTCCTTATTATTTTTTTTTTTTTTTTTATTATTTTGAAAAGTACTGAGAGTTGGAAATGAATCAAAGTACCAATTATATTCAATTTTCCACTAGAAACCACCAACAAAATCAAAAATTAAAGTATTTCCATTGCCCTAGAAAGTAATGTATATAAAAAAAAGTAAAAAAATCATATTGTCAACTACTACAATCAACATTCAGCTTAGATTCTAAAATGTTAATAGTTTTTGAAACATATATTAAAATGGTTAAAAATCATAATATAAATCTATACACAATTTAACATAATACATAAATAGTTAAAAGCTAATATTATTTTTTTGTAAATTACAATAGAATTTATACTTACAAAGATATATTTTTGGAATTATTTAATTATTTAATTAGATTTCGTAAAAAAAAATTACAAAGGAGTATCTTATAAATTTTTAGGATCCATGGTAGATTACTTACTGTTGCATTTTTCTCCAAGATCAACCGTTCCAAGTCTTCTGGACAGTTGTGTTTGAAGTACACTACTTCTGCTTTAGAGGATTGTAGACCCTTTTGTATTGCAAAGTTCACTTCTTCGTCCCTAAAACATTTAAATATTATTAACAAAATAAAAACAAATTGTTATAGGTTAAGTATTGGATTGTTATTTACTACGCACACGTATACAATATCTCTAAATTTAACGTATGCTTGAATGGCGCTAGTAATCGTAGAGAATCCATAAGAGTATATAACGGCTTCTTCCATTTCCATAAATTTAGCAATTTTCTCCTCTAGTTCTATATGTATATCTAAAAACGAATAACGGAAAATTTACAATTATGATTTAAATTTATAATATTTTTTATTCATACAAATCCCAGAAATTACAGGTTCCTTAGCTCAAAAACCAACATCAAAATTTAAAATTATTGGAAGCTATTATGATAGTTCATTAAAACCATTAATCATGATTTACCTTTTTCGATATAGTTTAATTTGTTGAACATTATTAATTAACACCATTACCTTTAAAGGAAGAGGTTAACCATACATATTATTACAATTTTGTTTTTATATAAAAATATTCTTTTTTAAAAATGAGTATTTATTGTAAATAAATAATAAGAATGACCACTAAATGAATTACTAGATTAATAAAGAACTAAAATATTACAATATAAATCAAAAATAAATTAGATTTACTTAAATTTTGTTATTATCAGCTAAATTTATATTTATATATTGATAAATTACTCTATATCTACTTTTTTAAAACCCATTACATCTAAGAAACGAAAAATTTAACTTATTAGAAAGTATCTACTAACTGTAGACCATAAAAATTACATAGGTATTATGCGTAATATCATATAAAAAATTATGATTCATTTTATTTATTTAATTTCTTATTAGTTATTAGTTATTACTAATAAGTTATAAGTATTTTATAATTAAACAAAATTACAATTGCTTAAGTTTTTTTATTTACAAGTATATTTTAGATATAATTTAGGAACATAACAATTAATTTTTGTTAACCAAACCAATATAAAAAGAATTGTTTATCCTGTAATCAATATTTGAACATCAAAGTCCTAAAATCATATATATCAATACTATATCTCATGGACATAGCACTTGCCCCCTTCTCTGAGCTTCAAACTAAATTCTCTACTAAATTCTTTTACTATAAAATCGAAAAAGCAAAAAAAAAAAGTTATTATCTCCCCTCTTCCTGATTAAAATCCTAGCTATGCCCATATTTAATTATTGCAAAATAACTAATGAAGAACCATGCCTTAAATTTTCAAACTTTATTACTTAAATAAATCAATTGTAAATTTGGAAAAAATATCAAAAATTTCGTACGTTAAGAAAAATTAAATTTTATATTATGTATAGGGAAGATTTCATATCTCTATTGTCATTCATTTTTGAATAATGATAAAAAAAATTGTTTGTGAGATCTAAGTATCAACTAGATACATTTGGCTACTAAAAATTTCTCTTAAAATTGAAGACTGAAGATATTCCAAAAGGTTATGATAAACATAAAAATTAAAATTAAATACTTATCTAATTGTATATTTTTGAATTCATCTGTACAAAAATCTAAATTATAAATATAATTTAAAAAAATAATAAAAATAATAAAAATAATTATATTATTTAAATATAATTATAATATAATAAAATTATATTATTATAGTTTTATAATTTAAAACTATTTTTATCTATTAAATTGTCATAAATTTAGCCAATTTAATTAAAATCAAATAAAACCTTAGTATTAAAATACAACTACTTATTATTTTTTTTGGAATCTAATCTAATACATTTACATATTCAAATGTAAAAAATACATTGTTCTATTGTAAGATTCTCAAAAATAATAATAAATATATGATTGTGTATGTATAATGAAAAAAATTTGCATGCCTTAATGAAAATAATTTTTGTGCACATGTTTCTCATTAATTATAGATGTAAATTAATGTCATTAATTGTTCATTAGTTTCGATTCTTATATTTAAATATAAATTAATATGAGAGGAAGTCAATAATTATTATATGTAATGATATTACAAACGAAAATGTGATGAAGGTACATGGTTAACAAATTAAAATAATAATGCAATATAACAGTTTTACTTACCAAATGTGCCATAAAATGCCCTAGGTCCGCAAGAACCAACGCCGTATTTATTCACCGCATTTATTACATTGTTTTCGATGGATTTGTCGGTAATAAAATTAAAATAGTTGTGAGTTGCAAAATTTATACACGACTGACCATTAATTGTGATATAATGTCCAGTCTAGTGCCAACAATGGAAAATAAACAAAACAAAATCTGGTTAATATTATACTCATCAAAATATGAAATGTAATCCAATACATAATAATTATAATTTTAGATGATACACTAGCATGTATGTCTGTATGTCTTAAATAAACGTATGCCAACAAGTCAAATTTTCATTCAGAAAATATGAATTTACATACACAATGACACTTAAAATTTGAAATATAAAAACTAACTTATTAACATGCATGATCTAATCTATTTAATTAAGTTTAATTTTAATAGGTACTTGCTCTATACAAAATATTAGCTAAAAATAAATAATTTTTATCATGTTGTATATTTATAAGACAGTGGCAATATATGCTAGTGTGGTGTATAATTAGTTTTATTTACCTTGCCATCAATAACATAGTTTTCCATTGGCAATGCAGATAAGGAAGTTGTATTTACCATAGGTTTTGGAGTCCATGATTTAATTTTTTCCTCTACGTCCGACTTGAAAAAAAAGTAATCACGTTTCACATAATTAGAATTACCTTAAACACCAGGAAATAATGATAAAATATAAAATATAAAATCCTAAAATCAAGTAAACTGAGTTAAGGTTACTATATACTTAAACTGTGATTATCATTTTTTTTATGAAAAAAAATGTATTACTCTTTCTCGGTCAACTACCTACTCGTTTTAATATAAAAAAAAAGGTAACTAGAAATAAGATTTTTTCCGGCAGTAGTTATACTAGGAAATATCTACAACATACAAATACACAATGGCCTGGCATTTTACAGTTAACAATATTTACGTTTGAAATTTAAATAATAAATTAAAACATAACCCTAATCAAAATATGTAACCAAAAGAATTATCAATTAATGATAAGTGATAATAAAAATGTATCATTAAAGTCGTCACCAAACTGGATAAAATAATTTTTAAATGGGTTTTTTTTTATTTTACAATATTTACTAACTAAAAAAACAAAAAAAAAAAAAATTGTTAATAACTATTTTGATGTGTGTAATATTGTGTAATTTATTATGAAAAATAAAAAAATAAGATATTTGACTATATATATATATAATAACTCACGTTTTCTGATGATTCGGTCTTTTTTGCATTTAAGGAATTTGCTGTTTTTTTAAATAATATCCACAGAAGTACAAGCAATATGCTGCCCTCTACGTAAATATGATTGAATTGAACCTAAAACATTCCATGAATAAACATTTTATATTTTTATATTATTGATATTTAGGGTATTCAAGTTAATGTAAATAAATATTCGACAATCAGGTAATATTTGTATAATATCTGTGATATTGTGATGATGAACAAAATGAAAATGTTAATTTTAACAACCATTGACTTTGTTATCTATAGAAAAATATAATTTGATAATATATTAATGTAAATCCTAGATAGTAAATATTAGATAATACTCGTATACATAATTTATCCATATTTATATACATATATTATATTACACTGTGAATGTAAACGAGCTAAGCTCTTTTTGTACAATTAACGAGTAAAAATAGCAGGTATATACATTTGAATGGCAAACAATTATCTAGAAACAAAGGCACAAAGATATAGAAAAGTAAATAAGATATTGAAAGTATTATATAAGAACAAGAGCAAGCATTTTTCAAATTTAAATGTTGACATATGGCATGAAACGGTTAAATAAGAAAATTGGGCTCTATATTGGTTCTATAAATACGTTCTATAGGCTATTGATACTTTAATTTAAACTATTGGTAATTGAACTAATGAAAATCTGGCGAAAGCTCTATATTACAGTTTTGATAATGAGTGTATCTTGTCATTGAGTAATGACAAAAAACCGTAATGTAGGGGTTAAATTTGAATTCAATAATAAATCATAGGACGCGAAAAACGATTCTGAGTTAAGATAGTTTCTGAATAGTTGACTTGATTCCTGGTATAGATAAATACAATAGCATAAAATTAATTTTAATAATTTAAAAATTTCTTTGTGTAAATATAATATAATAAAAAGAAATGCTGTAAATTTTAAGTCCCATGAATAATATTTTTGAATTAGGTACAACAAAATATCAAAAGTCGTTATTATTTGTGTAAATATCTTATTTTATCCAAATTATGTATATAACAAAAATATTATAAATATATATTTTAGATTTAAACCACATTGTGAAGTTTTAAGAAGATCCTTGTATTAAATTTTCAATGTTTTCTATAAAAATTGAACATTTTATACATTTTTAACTATACAAAATAACATGCAAATTTTCGTGATTTTTACCAACTTGTAAAAATTTGAATATTAAATACATAAAAAAAACTAGGTGTGAGTAATATGTATCTTATACATATAATAACAACTTATGAGGAACCTTATGTTAAATATTCAAACTTTATAATTTAGTAAAAAATATTTTTTAAATTTGACTATTTATAAAAATTGCTATTATAAATATTTTTGAAAATGTTAAATATTTACAGTTATTTGTTATTAAATTACAACAAAATATGAAAATCGATTTTATTAAAAATTAGTATTGAATATGAATTCTAATTTCCCCCTAATTTTTTTGTATTATTTTCAAATTATTTGACCTCTTAAAACTACCAAATAGGTTCACTTCCTTACCATAAAAGTTATTGAAGTTAAAAATTAAAGTATTTTTTTTTTTACTATTAATCATTGTATACACACGTATATCATTGTAAAATCAATATAATCATCGTTCCACTTAGAATCTAAAAATTCAAATATCAAAGTTCAAGTAGCTTGACCACAAACATTGTAAATGTACTCAATGAATATTTTAAAAATGTTTATTGATTATTCGTAGGTGCAAATGTTCTCTTTAGAATTGGCCCTCACACACCAATAAAATGATAATTATTTCTATAAGTTTAATCTAGAATTAATACACACCCACTTGTTATGCAAAACCATTGTTTTAACTTTTTTCCTTGCACAATGTAAGTCGACAAGAGCATATACATATTATTTCATTAAAATGGTTTAATAATTACGTGGTTGAAGATAGAAGTGATTACTACGATTATTTTGATAAATTATTCGTTTTTTTATTGAAACAATAATTTATACAAATAGTTTTTTTAAACAAACAGTTTATTTTATGATTTTAACATTTTATCATTATTTTAAAAATTTGTATTTTTTATTTTTCAGCGTAAGCATAGTACTTATATACCAATAAACGTTAAATATGTTTAAAATGTATGGAACAATTAACGTGTTTATAAAAAAATAAAGAAGACTGTGTTTGGTCATGGACCATGGTCACAAGTTTTATCCATGGTAACATCTTACGTCTGTGAGTAATATTTTACTGAAATAAAATGTAAAACGTATTTATTGAATACAATAGATTGATTCACACAGTTTAAATATCTATTTACTTAGTACCTACATAGGTATTATGATCTCGAGAGATATGGACACTAATTATTGATTATACGACGATAGTAGGAAAAATATAAATGATTTGATAATTATTAAAATCAATACAAGGAAAATATAAGTGATAAAAAAATGTAAAAAAAGGTTTTTTAATTTGTTTATGTAAAATTTTATCTAGTTTTAATTTTTATAAAAAAATTTGTTCTTATTTTTTTTGATAAGAATAACATTTTTGAAATTATTTTATTTTTATAATTTTGTTATCTTGATTATATGCTGAAATGTTAGCGGATGTCAAATTGTATTGTGTGGACGAATAAAACATTGGGTTTGACAAATCGAAGTTTAAATTACTGTAATTAATATTGAACTCGTAAACAGTACTTTTATTTTAGCAATATACTATGTTTAGTCTAAAAATACATACGTTTTAATTTTTTTTGCAATGAAACAATACTTATTTCTTTTACATATATGACCATGTGATAAATAAAATAAAAATTAAATATATGAGTTTTTACCATCACTATTGATATATTTTATACTACTATAGATTCACACACTAATTACTTAACTTATAAAATATTATAAAAGATAAAGTAATATAGTTAAATAGATAGAAATGATCTATAGCTATTGATATGTTCACTTTAAAGTCAATTAAACAGTAAACGATAATTACTACATGATATTTAGTTATAATTGGCTATAAATAAGAAATATAAATTTATTGTTTATACAATTATTTCAATTCTAAATAAGTATGGAAACTATGAATTGATTTTTTTATTTAAGTTTTATAAATCATAACTTATCGTATAAAAATTACTCATTAATATTAATTAAAAGATTAGATATCTCGTCGTTAAGAAATTACTATAATTTATATGATAAATATGAATTCCATTATAAATCATTACATACGAAAAAAGATTCTGAGCGGAAACTCTCTGATAGTCTATAAAATGATTAAGTATATTCTATGATATATTAATATTGCTATCATAGCCATTTATTTTACAATTATTATTGTTTGTTTAAAACATAATATTATACGTTATAATTTTTAAGTACTTACGAATATTATTTTTAAATTTCAACAGAAAAACTTAAATGGAAATTCTTAGTTTAAATATCTAATTTCGTTAATTATAAAAAAAAAACAAACTATGTTATATATTTTTTAAATTTGTTGGTAAAATAGTATGATCTTCTTATGAGAAACCTTATAAAAAATTTTCAATTATTATTTATAAAAATTTAACATTAATTTATACACTTTTAACTACAAAACTATTTGCAAATGTTCATGATTTTGACGAATGTTGTGAACATTTTGAATTTAAATACCTATTAAAAAAACGTATGCGGAACCTTGTATTACATTTTAAAACTATAGACAAAATAAAATCAAATAAACAATGTCAATTTTTTATAAGAGATTTTAAAAGATTTAAAATATTATATGATGTATAAAAAATGCTCTTAAAAATATATGATGAAATTATTTCAAGTATCTACCGTTATTTGTTTTTAAATTTGCTACGCTCAGAATATATACCAATGTTTAAAGTCAATCTCAATAATTTAACATTGATTGCTTTTGTTAGGTAATATTGTTTAAGATATACTTATTGACAATGACTAGTTTTTATCGTTTACAGTATGCATAACTTAAAAATTATATATTAATTGGTCAAAAATCAAAATAGTATTTTATAAGTATTTTAAACATATTTTAAAATTATTCTTTAAAGCATATATTATAAGTAAAGTAAAAAAGAGAAGTATAAGATAAATTAATTAATAATACATAAAAAATCAAGTGAATTAATATAGAATACAGTGTGAAAATTCTATTTACGGATAGAGATGTTCAAGTTACCAAAAAAGGGAATATCATGATATTATATATATATATATATATATTATATATATTATAGATACTTGTCTTTGAAGTGTTGCAATACGAGATTATTGCGATAATATATTCTCGATACTTAGAATTTAAGTTTTTAAATATTTGATACTCAATTATCGATAATCAATAAATAAAAATATATTTAACTGTATCATATATGTCTATAATATAAAATATTGTATTGATAAAAAAAAAATTGGCTTAATAATTTAAATAAGTTACCAAAAAGTATATCTTCAAATCACTAGTTGATTATAGTTAAATGTTATATTTTAATAATTAAATAATGATTTTATATTTAGTTAGTTATAACAATAATAGTCAAGGATTTTTTAAAATTTAAAATTAGTATGTTTTATCCGAAATTAATGAAATAAGTGCATAATTTTGTATTTCATAAATGTTATGTACGTATTAATATTATTGTTAACGTCCACCATGCATGTCTCACATTATTTGTCTTTATCTGATGTGTGTGTGTGTGTTTGTGTATATAAGATACGAGATAAACAATTGTATTTAAGATTCGTACTTGAGATACTTTCAACTAAAATAATGCTTAACCCTGTCTATGGAAAAAAAAAGATTGCCGATGAGGTCAATTGAATGATATGATGATGGAAAAGAATAGGTGGTGCTTATAGACGTACATATAAAATGACAAAACATACTCTTTTTGGTAAATCTTTCGAGTGTATTAGTCGTAATAGGTAGACATATATTAAAATCATGCAAATCAATAAATTTATAATTTATCTGTTCCCATCAATAAGTTTAAAGTAATTCCAGGAAAATCAATCAGTCTTATCTATTATCGAAGACCCGACGTTATTCTTAAATGTAAGCCGCAAGAGATATTTT